GCCTCTTCCGTCCTCACCATCAGCCGGAAGTCTCAAGCCAAGCCTGTCACACTCACAGGCCAACACGGGCCAAATAAACAAGGTGCAAGTGGGTGTGGCCGCAAAAAAACAAAAGCTTCAGTTTTCTTTGAAACGTAGGTTTATTCCGACAGAGACATGCTGAATACAAAGGGCTGAAATGAATGAATGACTGTTAACATAATAGAACATTTTAATAAAAATTAACATTTTTTCTTAAACATTCACTTACCAGACACTGGATAACTGCACAAATTAATAAGCGTAACGCAAATAAACCTATTTTTCTTGTTTCCCAAGAGCGAAATATTTCCTGTTGCGCACACCAAAAAAGTCAGTCCAAGACTAATGATGTGGCCTTCGGCTGCTAAAATATTCGCTGCTAGTATTAGTGGAGGAAAGTGGTGCGCCTGCGCATAAGGGAAATGAATGCAACACGATTATAGCCATCAGTCATTAGCGAATGTTGTAGTTTGTTATAATTACGTATAACAGGGTATTGTAAAAATTAAGTTATGAAATTTTTATTAAAGTTTCTAGCATACTGTTATACTGGCTGGGCCCCCCAAATATTCGTTGTGGGCCGCATCTGACATGCTTGCTCTAAGCAATTCCAGGGGATCCTCCAGAATCGCCATTCGATCGATGGTCACTACTTAGATTTGGATGACCGTCTTTTTTCTTTCTTTTTTTTTTTTTGATCGATTTCAGAGGAGGAGAGAAACACAGAAACATCAATGATGAGAATCATTTACTGGCTGCCTCTGGGCATACTGTGCATTCTAATTCCTTGCTGGTTTCTTGCCTGCGTCCCACTGTGAGCCTGTCACCCCCAGAGGACAAGAGTTCTTGTCTTTCTTGTGTAGAACCAGGTCATCTTCCATCCTGGGGCATCCTGGCTCCTCTCACCTCAAAGAAAGACCACCCTGAAGTGGCCACTAAGGCAACCATGATGCACTTCAACTCCACTCCATCACCTGTAGACCTTTCCTCATCTGTCCCTGCTTCCCCTCCCCCTCCCCCCACCGCACTGCATTCAGGATGCCACAGCCCTGCTTTCCATCCCTGGATGGTGCCAATCCCCTGCCCGTGTGGGGGCCTTCGAACTCCCTGTTCCTTCTTCCTAGAACACTCCCCCCAGGGTGTTCCCATGGCTTCCTCCTCTCACAACTTGGGTGGCACCTTCCTCCCGCCACCGCCACCGCCGTCAGTAACCCACCAGCTCTCCCACTTGCCTCATTTCACTGGCATCGAGGTAGCTCTAGAAAATGCAATCCTCTTACTGCTTTGCAGGCTTTGTCGGGCTTTGCCCTTTTCTGGAACACGGCCCTGGGAGGGCGGCCCTGTGCTCCTCCTGCCCGCTGCCCAATCCAGCACCGGAGATGCTCCATGCACGTCTGGTGCCCGGATGCCGGATGCCAGTCGGACAGGGTCAGGCCGGGCTCGGGGCTTCATGGGGTGCCCCGCCAGGCGAGTGGGTGGGAGACAGTCGCACCTGGAAAGGAAGTGTCTGTCATTGAGAACCAGGTAATGTGTGGGGTTTCCGGCAGGAAAGCTCTCTTTGGGGACAGCCCCTCTGACCCAGGACATCAAGGTATGCAGTGAGGACGCACGGGAACCCAGGCCAGCCCAGGAGCCCCGCACCCAAGCCTCCGGCTGCCCAGGACAAGACGAGCCACCCTGACCGTCCACACCAGGGGTGGGAACCTTTCTCCCGCCACAGCTGTTTGGCTGTTTCTAACGTCATTCTCAGGCCATACAAATCACCAACTTAAGTATCAGCCTGCTGTGTTTGGTCAAATACTTCATGAACTCACCCCTAAGGCCGTGGCAGGAGCAGACCAAATAGCATTCCCACCCCTGGTCTAACCCCGAGTCCAGCACGGGCCCCGAGGAAGAGGCAGGGCTGGAGGGTGTGGCCGCCGGCCGGTCCTGCCTTCCCATGGCTCTGGCCTCAGCTCCGGGAGCTCCTGGACAGCGGCCTGCCCTCTCCTCCCCAGGACATCCAGGCCACCTGGCTTTCACCATAAAACCAGTATGAAAATCACTGAGATGTCATGTTCTTTTCTTATACAGTGGGGCCTTGACTTACGAGTGTCCTGACTAACGAGGTTTTTGAGATACCTGCTGTCTCTCGGCTGATTTTTTGCATTGATAGAGTAATTTGAGTTAACGAGCTCCTTAACGACCTCCGTCTCGGAACGAATTAAACTCGTAAGTCAAGGCCCCACTGTACTGTCTTTGAGGTCCGTGTTTTACTCCTCAGCCCCGGCGCACGGCTTACAAAACAGTGTGTGCAACCTCCCTCCCAGGAGACGCCTGTGGAGGGCGAAGACCTGAGACCTCATCGTTCTATGTCACTGAACATCTAAGAAAGGGATTCATCTTTGCAAATACTGACCACGCGATTAGCACCTGCGCCCTTGCGTGGCGTGCTTATTATCAGGCCAATTCTCTTGTCAGGGTTGCACGTATTTTTTTAAAGTATGGTTTTTTTTTGCTTTTTAGAAAGGAAGAGGGATAGAAACACCGATTGTCTGCCTTCTGCACGCCCCCTACTGGGGATGGAGCCCCAAACCCAGGCATGTGCTCTGACCAAGCATCAAACTGTGGCTCCACCACTGAGCCACGCCAGCTGGGGCATATGCTGCCAGCAGGGTGAGTGTCAGAACTAAGCCCTCATGGACTTGCTGGTGTGCACCTGTTAGGACCCACTGCACTAGTGCCTGGTTTAGTGGGTGAACTGAGAGGGGCAGAAATAGAATATTGGGGACCAACTACAAGAAATGTGGGTCATGCTCTGTTAACCATGATTTTGTTGATGAAGGCAGGCGCATGCTCACCTGCTGGGAGTTGCACGTGGGACCTGGGAGCTCACCTGGAGACGCAGCCCATCCTCCCCCTCAGGGAGCTGCCTATTATCCTGGAAGGATTAGCAACCTTCTTGCAGGAACCAGAATCACTAGCCCTTTCAAGACTCCCAGCCCTTTGCATATCCACAGGCCTTTGCAAATCTCCAGCCCCCATTACCTATCAACTGCCCCTTTGGCTGCTTCCCATGTAATCTCTGTCCTTCTACCCAGTGTAAGCAGGAGGCTATGGTGGGGGCAGAGCAGCTGTTTGTGGATGCCCTGCTGCTCTCCATGCTGCCGGCAGGACTGGAATAGATGTTCTTATGTGATTCCCCCCGTCCCTGCTTAATTGGCTCAAGTAGTGACAGGCAGCACGGTCCCCTTGATTGTCTGGTTACATAATCTGGCAACTCTGGTGGGACACAAACGGGCGGTGTGTGTGTGGGGAGGGGGATCCAGCTTGCCGCCTGGACTCTTATTTGCAGCTTTGCCAGGAATTTTCCTGTTTCGAGTCCCAGCCGCAGCCTCAGCAATCCCCATCGTCTCACTTAAAACCGAAGTTGAGCCCTAGCTGGTTTGGCTCAGTGGATGGAGCGTGGGCCTGCGGACTGGAGGGTCCCGGGTTCGATTCCCGTCAAGGGCACTCGATCCCGTGTGGGGCGTGCAGGAGGCGGCCCATCGATGATTCTCTCTCTCTCTCTCTCTCTCTCTCTCTCTGAAATCAATAGGAAATACATTTTTTAAAAAACACAAAACAAAACCTAAGTTGAATAGAGCGTTGGGGCGTTCTGTAACAGGGACGCCCGTTGTCTGTTGTCCCCATCTGGGGGGAGCCTGACCAGCTCCCGGTGGCAAGCGGCCTCTCCCGGGCCTGACCTGCGGGGTGCCGGGCACTGGGGTCGGTTGTCTGGGGGGAGCCTGACCAGCTCTTGGTTGCAAGCGGCCTCTCCTGGGCCCCCGGCTGGGCCCCGTCAGGCGCCCGGGGCCCGCTGCGCCCTGGGTGGTCTTCGCCGGGTGCATGCCTGTCGTCATAAGCTGTTCACGGGTGGGTGCTGGGGCCACCCCAACAGACAGTCCGCGGGGGCGGCCCTCGGGGTGCTGGCTCCTCACGCTTCCTGCCGGCGGGAAAGTTGGCGGCGTTTACCACGCGGCTCGGCCTCACGCGAACTCCGAACGGGCGAGGGGCAGCGGAGCGGAGCTCTGGTCGGCGGGCGTGGGCGCCCGTGGACGCCGTGAGCGCGCCTCTCCGTTGTCTAGTTTCTCAGGCAGCTCAGGGCGCGGGGGCACCGCTGGGCGCGGGGCGGGGCGGCAGGAAGCCATGCCTCTGGGTCCCTTCTCCGCGGGGCGGGCCGCGCCTCCCGCCGGGGGAAGAGCGAGCTTCGGGCCGACGGGGGCGCATCCAGCTCCCGGTCCCGGGCGGGGGGCGGAGGGCGGAGGGCGGCGGCGGAGCCGGGTGCGCGGCCCCAGGCGAGGCCGTCTCCACACTCGACCCCGAGCGGGGCTTTCCCACGGGCTTTAGCGAACACGGGCCGCCCCACCAGCGCCGGGTCCAGGTTCTCAAAGGCGGACGCTGTGCAGCGAGGGTTCCCGCCGGGCACCAGTGAAAACGCGTCTCCCAGGCCGCGCCCGGCGCCCCCGACCCGGCCCGCGCCTCGTCCCTCACATCCGAGGAGGACGCCCTGGCGAGGCCGGCGGAGCGTGAAGAAGCGGGAATCGCCCTGACCGGTTTGGCTCAGTGGGTAGAGCGTCGGCCTGCGGACTGAAGGGTCCCGGTTCGATTCCGGTCAGGGGCGTGTACCTGGGTTGTGGGCACATCCCAGTAGGGAGTGTGCAGGAGGCTGCTGGTCGATGTTTCTCTCATCGATGTTTCTAACTCTCTATCCCTCCCCCCTCCTCTCTGTAAAAAATCAATAAAATATATTTTTAAAAAAAAAAAAAGGGAAACTCGCCTCAGCACAAAACTCCCGCTCCCGACGCGCTCCGGCGCCTCCGCCGTTTTTATAGGCAATGAGCGAGGCCCCGCCCCTCGCGAGATCCTGCGAGAGCTCCTATCTCACAGAGCCGCAGCGCCCCTCTTTCCCTTCCGAGGCGCGGCTTTGACGCACTCGCGCACGCGCAGTGACGTCAGTTCCTGTCGGCGGCGGCTGCGCGGGGTCGTGCTTCCGCTTTTCTCCGCCGGGGCGCGCGCGCTCCTCTATCAGCCGACGCGGGATCATGGCGGCCACCGCCACGATGGCGAACTCGGGGTCGGCGCGGAAGCGGCTGCTCAAAGAGGAGGACATGACCAAAGTGGAGTTCGAGACCAGCGAGGAAGTGGACGTGACGCCCACGTTCGACACCATGGGCCTGCGGGAGGACCTGCTGCGCGGCATCTACGCCTACGGTCGGTGGGCGCGGGCCGGGCGCCAGGGTTTGCGAGCCGGGCGGGCGAGGGCAGGCCGGGCGCGTAGGCTGGGAGTCCCCGGCCCGGCAGGGTCCCCTCCCCGCTCTCCCCCTGCCCCCCGGGGCTCCGAGCCGAGGCAGCTGAGGGTCCCCCGCCCCCAGCCACCGTCATCACTCCGCGACCGAGGTTGCGGCGTGTTGTCCTCGGTGCAGAGCTGCGTGCCGGTCTCTCGGGGGCTGCACAGTCTTCCGGGCGCTCATTCAGCTGCTAACTGCCCCGCATCTCCCGGTGTGAGGCTCCCGCGCTGCCTCGGGCACCGGGGGCGGAGCAGTGAGCCAGGCGGGCTCGGGCCCGGAGAGCTGAGTTGCCTTTGGGAGGAGGTGCCCAGTGGTAATGGCTGCGAGGAAGCGGAGCGGGGTAGCTGGAGCAAATAGACAAGCGGGCTCCCAGGAGGAGGTGGCATTCGAGCTGGGCTCTGGATTAGGGGGCCCGTTAGGAGAGGACGGTGGGGACGCCGGGCGCTGGCAGCAGCAGGTGCGTTCCAGCAGCAGGAGGAAGCCTGTCCCGGGCGCCGGGGATGAGCTCCGAGAGGGCGGCAGGGGCAGCGCGAGGCGGCGGAGGGCTCGGTGGTGGGAAGGAGGGGCTTGAGCTGGGGGTGACGTTGGCAGTCACAGAGGCGGTCCCGCTGGCTGGCTGTGGACCTGGAGGGGGAGAGGCAGGAGAGGAAGCGGGGCTGCGTCGGGAGGCTTTGCTCAGCGCCGGGAGAGGTGAGGGCGTCCTGGAGGAAGAGGGCAGCGCTGCCAGGTTGCACTGGTGGGTGCGGGCGAGCAGAGGGAAGGGGCCTGTGCGATTCGGTGTTGTAGCAGCAGCCCAGGCGCTGCCATTAGCTCAGGGGAGGAGCGCTTGGAGGAGGCACAGTGGGGTGCTGGCTTGGTTGTGGTGAGCGTCCCCTGGTGATGTTGGGAAGCGGCTGCCTAAGCTGGAGCTGGGGTTGGGGATACAGGTGGGAATTGTCTGCCCTAAGGCCTGCGGCTGGGGCCTCTCTCCTTGGTGCCCGCAGCAGTTTAGATGGAGCAGAGGTGTTGAGGGGGGAGGGGAGGTAAAGAACCATGGCAGGCCGCCTGCCTCTCGGCACCCAGGACATCACTGCCCGTTCCCACCTGTGTGCTTGGTCATCAGGAGGGGTTTAGATCAGCTGCTGCAGTTGCTTTTGTGTTAGAGGGGAGCCGAAAGCGATTACAGCTTTGGACGTAAAGTTTTGTTTGTTTGCTTGGCGAATGCTTGTGCTCCTTCAGAGGAGCCCCGCCCCTCGGTGATTTAGGCTGTTGTTCGAGAGAGAGGGGGTGCGGGTCACAGCTGTGGGACCGTGCAGGGCACCCCGCAGTGCTGCCCCAGCAACGGGGGGAAGCAACGTGGGTTATTGTCATAGTCACACACACACAGTCGGAGCACACAGCAAGCCTCCCCACCCCCCCTCCAGGAGTGCCTATCTGAAACCTTTGGGTCCATACATCCTCCGGGATGTTCCGTCACAGGGTTTGCCTATTCATAGGCCTGTGCCAGCACAGAAACCCGCCGCCGCTGGTCGCTCAGCAGCTGTTGGGTGGGGGTCTGGGCAGGCAGAGGCGGGTGGGGCCAGGAGGGGAGCTTCCAGTGTCTGGTTGTAAACACGCTGGCCTCGAGCTCAGCTACCTTCTGTTTCTGTCCCCAGGGTTTGAAAAGCCGTCCGCCATCCAGCAGCGCGCCATCAAGCAGATAATCAAAGGGAGAGACGTCATCGCACAGTAAGTCTGCGGCTGCAGGGGCCCTGGAACAGTGCGGGTTTGATCGTGAGGGTCCACTTATACTTGGATGTTTTTTTCAATAAATATAGTAAACATATTTCCTATTATGAATCTTTATAACATTTCCCTTTCTCCAGCTGTATTGTAAGAATATAGTATTAACTATAGAATGTTCATTGACGATCGTCTATGTTATTGGTAAGTGTTCTGGTCAACAGTAGTCTGTGAGCATGTGAGGTTGGAGGTGGTTACGTGTGTGTGGGTTTTCACTGGGAAATTGGCAGCCCCAGGGGCCCCTGTGTTAAGTGCTTTGGGGCCACAATTGTTCTGTTTTTATATATTTGTTACCAACTGGTTCCTTGACTGTAGCCTGGGGTGCTTTACTGTTTGTATTCTTGTGTTCTGTTTTAGAAAGCTTTCATTTTTTAGCCAGCTCTATTACCTATCGGTTGGCATGTGGATTTGTGTATAATACTGCTTAAATAGCTTTACTACTGATTTACCAAATTTTTAAAGATTCATTTACAAAAATAGAAATGACTAGAGGACAGTTTCCATCCAGATCGTACTTAAAGGGGAATGCCTCCTGCTGGGGTAGGTTCTGCAGCTCCATCAGCCCTGATGCCATCCATAGCTACTGTCCTCTCACCGGGGACTTAAAAGTGACATTGTGCCCGCATCCCACCTCTTGCCACTAAGGTGGTGGTGGTCTGCTTGGGAGAAGCTGCCCGGTGCCCCCTCCCCTCGGAGCGTGGCTGTGGTGGGTTCTGTGCACGGACAGTGGCATGCGGCCACGGTTCCCAGCCCCGCTTCCCTGTTTTCTCCCCTAGGTCTCAGTCTGGCACAGGCAAGACCGCCACCTTCAGCATTTCCGTCCTCCAGTGTCTGGACATCCAGGTGACTGGCTGCCCGTCCTCCGGGAGTGCTCCTTCCCTCCGTGGCGCAGTGTCCCTCTCTGCTGTGCTGACTCGGGTTTTTAAAGAGAACGAGTTGCACACTAGAGCCTGAGCTGACACCCTGCCATACGTTCCTTTTGTCTGGACGGGGGACTCTTTAAACGAGTGGACGTTCTCGTCTGTAAACAAGACTGCTCACCGGGACCCCTGTGATCCCTGGGCTTGTGGTTTCAGAGACATTAAGTGGTGTTTACCTCTGTGAGAAGTCAGATGGGTGGTTCATGCGAGATCAGTCAGGACAGGTCTGAGCCCGAGTTAGCGGGTCCACCTGAGAAACTGACCGTCTGTCCCCGACAATTCCTTCACCAGGTCCGTGAGACCCAGGCTTTGATCTTGGCCCCCACGAGAGAGCTGGCTGTGCAGATCCAGAAGGTGAGGCGCCCCGGCCGGTGTTGTGCTGCAGGTCTTGTCATCCGGTCTCTAGTTCCTTAGGCTTCTCCTGAGTCCTGATCGTTTTGCCGTAAATCACCACATGTGATATGAATTGTGGTTTGTGTTAAGTCATTTTAGTGTAGCTTGTGTGGTTCCAGTCGTTCCTGGCAGTCAGCACCAAAAAGCCAGCTATTTCATGCTTATTGTGAACACTACGGAAGGCTGTGCAGGAATGTGCTAGGATTGTTCCTGGCTGGATGAGAGTATGAATTTCATATATGTCCTGATTTTTGAGTAATTAGCATGTACTGTGTTTGTAGTGGGAAACCATTAAAACTAACTTCAGTCTCTATTCTAGAACGCTTTCGTAGGAAGAGTAGAGGAAAGAGTGGGAGGAGAACTGGGCTCTCTCTGTGGTGTGAACAGTGGCGTAAATAGTACGCGGGTCATGCCACGTGGATGGGAATGACCTGTGTTCCCGCCAGGGCCTGCTCGCGCTGGGCGACTACATGAACGTGCAGTGCCACGCCTGCATCGGCGGCACCAACGTGGGGGAGGACATCCGGAAGCTGGACTACGGGCAGCACGTCGTGGCCGGCACGCCGGGACGTGTCTTCGGTAAGCGAGGGCCGCGCTCCGTTCTCCGCATTGCCTGTCTGCGCGGGGTCACTTGTAGGGAGCGAAGGGAGGTCTGTGGAGTGGCCGGTTCCTTCTTCGTAGCCTGAGGTCTCATCCTCCCGAGTCTGGTTTTTCAGATATGATCCGGCGCAGGAGTCTGAGGACACGTGCGATCAAGATGTTGGTTTTGGATGAAGCCGATGAGATGTTGAATAAAGGTAACAGAAGGACTGATTCTCTGCCTACATGTCATTGCGCATGTTCACGGTGCGGGATGGAAACGGGCACCAGTGACGTGCTCTCAGTAGGGCAGTGTGTCTGTGGGGCATAGCTGTGCCCCGTGGACCACGGGGGCAGGAAACCCAGTTGGTAGTTTTGTGGCCGCTGCTGATAAGGCTGACCACAGCCAGCAGGGCACAGCCTGTCGTCCCGACCAGACGCGTTGTTTTCTGTGTGTCCGGGGTCAGCACAGTGACAGGCCCATGAGCTGAGCTGTGAGAGGATTTTGGCGGAAATCGTAGGCTGTACAGTCGCAGTTCTGCACCTAATTCAGTGTGAGCCTTGGCCTCACCTCTGTGCGCAGGGTGCGGCCTCAGGTTCCTGTGGTCTTGTTCCTCCAGGTTTCAAAGAGCAGATTTACGACGTGTACAGGTACCTGCCCCCGGCCACACAGGTGGTGCTCATCAGCGCCACGCTGCCCCATGAAATCCTGGAGATGACCAACAAGTTCATGACGGACCCCATCCGCATCCTGGTGAAGCGGTGAGCACGCCCTGCCTCTCCACGGTGCTGAACGGGCACGTGGGCGGCACTGGGGTTCAAACACGGAACCCTAATCGCCTTTTCTGAAAAGCCAGCTTTTCACGTGCATTCCCTCTTAACCTAGCAATTCCAATCTTAACAATTAGCTGCCGGTGTTTACCGGTGGCTTGAGCGAAAGATGAGCGTGTGCCGTGGAACAATGGGGTGTTCTAACCGTTCAGGGTGGTGGTAACTGCTGGTTCTGATCCAGAGCTGGGCCCGGGTGGGAGAAGTGGTGGCTCCTAGGAGGTGTGGCCGCCCCACCCCCAGACGAGCCACCGGGCTGGAGGGCTGGTGGGGCCTGGCCTGCGCTGCCCCCCCCCCCCCCCCCCCCCGTCTCAGTGGGAAGAGCAGGTAATAGGGTTCGTGTCTCTCCTCCAGTGATGAGTTGACGCTGGAAGGCATCAAGCAGTTTTTTGTGGCGGTGGAAAGAGAGGAGTGGAAATTTGACACGCTGTGTGACCTCTACGACACGCTGACCATCACGCAAGCCGTCATCTTCTGCAACACCAAGAGGAAGGTGCGTGGCTGCGCCCTCCCATGGCCTTCTGGTGCCAACCGAAGCTCGGTCTCTGCGGAGCTGGGATGGGCGGGTGTGGAGGCCGGAAGTCTGCTTTAGGCTTTGTGGGCACGTGGTCTCCGGGACAGCTGCCCACTCTGCCCTATAGCACAGAAGCCGCTGTGGGCGCGTGCTCAGTGGAACCACAGTGTCGATTCCAGTCCCACGCTGTCGGTGTCAGGTGGCTCAGCTGATGGATGTTCCCACGTGAACAGATGGAGAGGGTTTTCGTGCCACTGGCTGGGAAGTGACTGCCCTCACATCCAGTGAGGAGTCCGCGGTTCAGCGCGCCTGCTCTACGGGTGGCTCACGGCTCTGCGATGATGCGCTAAGTCCCGAGTCCATCTCTGCTTTGGGAGCTCAAAGAGCATCTGCCGTTTGGTTGGTAGGTTGACTGGCTGACGGAGAAAATGAGAGAAGCCAACTTCACGGTGTCGTCGATGCACGGGGACATGCCGCAGAAGGAGCGGGAGTCCATCATGAAGGAGTTCCGCTCCGGCGCCAGGTGAGTGGGCTCGGGGTGGGGCTGGCGGCCTCGGGGTGGGGCATGCAGGTCTGTGGGCAGCAGCTTTCTCTGAAGGAGGGGCGGTGGGAGCGAGCCCCTCCACAGCCTGAGGCCGCTGCTCCAGAGCTTTGCGGAAGGACAGTGTCTTCCAGGCAAGGCCCTGCTGGCATCGCCACGGCCTGTGGTTCCGTGACTGGTGCGGTGAGACGTGGAACTTGTACTCAGACCCCACACGTGGCCCCATCACCACGCTCACCCAGGGGCCTTGAGAAGGCTCTTTCTGGAGCTGCCCCTGCCCCACGTGGACCAGGGAGCGGGTGACTGGCATCCAGTCTTGAGCCTTCATGACTGAGTAATGGCCTCGCGTCCCCTTCTTGCCGCAGCCGGGTGCTCATCTCCACCGACGTCTGGGCCCGGGGCCTGGACGTCCCTCAGGTGTCCCTGATCATCAACTATGACCTGCCCAACAACCGGGAGCTCTACATCCACAGGTAGGGCGCTGCCCCCGTCCCTCAACACCCCCCACCCCCCACTCCCTGCCGCCGGGCGCCTGCACACGGTCCTAGCTGTGTGTACCAACGGAATCTTCCTTCTCCCCAAGAATTGGGCGGTCGGGGCGGTATGGCCGGAAGGGCGTGGCCATCAACTTTGTGAAGAACGACGACATCCGCATCCTGCGGGACATCGAGCAGTACTACTCCACGCAGATCGACGAGATGCCCATGAATGGTGCGCGGGGGCCCATCCGCCATCCTGTGTGGGGGCTGCGAGGGGGCTCTGCTGGGGCCTCAGTTAATGCGTCTCCTTTTGTCTGTTTTCCTGCTTTCAGTTGCCGATCTGATCTGAGGCATCTGCTGCGCTGGGGACGCGTTGGCCGGCTCTGTGTCCCCTCGGGACTGTCCAGAGCAGTTTCTCCTTAAGGTGGTTATGATGCACATGTGCTGGAACCTTGACCCCTCTGACCACATTGTCCGGGCGTGGCAATACCTGCACCTCATGGGGAGAAGGCTGTATGAAGGCACACTAAGTTCTTACAAAGTGGAAAACAAGTCTATAGTAGCACCTCAAAACCCGCCCAGGATTCAGTCTTGGGTTCTGTCTTCTTTTCTTACCTACATGTAAATAATGCTTTGCTTTTGGTCTTTTTCATTAAACATTTTAAACTTTGCCCGTGAACTCTCATTTCTATGTCCTGCGCTACCACACCTTCCTGTACCCACACTCTGCTCGCTGAGCCCCCTCCCCGTGCTGTGGGATGGATGAGTCTAAATTTCCAAGTTCATTGGTGATTCTAACTCCAGCCTCTGAAACTATAGTTTATGAAAGGAATTTCCTCTGAAATAATAGGAAAATCAACAAAACCCAATGTTGGTTCTTTGAAAAGATCAAGAATGTTGACAATTTTTAAGTGAAATTGACCAAGAAAAGACTCAAATTACCAAAATCAGGAAAGAGATGTTACAGTTGCCCTCAGAATAAAAGGGTCACTATGAGCGGCTGTGCCAATAACCGGGTCGCCCCGATAAAGCGGGTGGAGACCAGGTGTAGTCAGTGAGGCAGAGGCGAAGGCAAGACCAGGGCGGGCAAAAGGAGGCTTGCAGTTAGGATGGAAAATGCAATCATCACCCAACAATAAGTTGTCTCACGTACTCACAACCCAGCCTACTTTTGCCCACGCTGTATAAAGGCACAAATAAGTTGAAAATTAAAAAAACCAATGGAGAAACCACGGCGCCACACTGACCACCACTGGAGTGGCCGAGTCCACGGTAAAGGGTTCCCCAGGGCAGGGAGGTTTCATAGGATGAAGGGTAATTTATCAAAGCCATGCAACAACCCTCAACACCTGTGCACCTAGCAGCTTCGGAGCAGGAAGCAAACACTGACCTGCACAGGTTGGGCCAGTGCAGTCGGGGTGGGAGCTCAGTGACCTCAACCTCCCACTGGAGGCCACCTGGGAGGGACGGGTAGGAGGCACCGAGGGGGCGGGCCTCAGAATCTACAAGCCCCTGACGAATAATTGAAAGGTGAGTTCTGCAAGGTCAGCCTCCCCAGATCATCTGTGCTGTTTGCAAGCAACGCCATGGGAAAGGGATATTTAAAGAGCCCCCTTTAATAGCATCCGATGTGGGGAATACCCAGGGCTGCAAGGTCTGCATTGAACACACAAAACATTGCTGTGAGGAACTAAAGATGCAAATAAGTGAGAGACTGCCCCAAAGGACTAGAAGAGTCGGGGGGGGGGGTCCCCTCGGCCCAGCCTGCACCCTCTCCAATCTGGGATCCCTCTCACAATCCTGGACCACTGGCTCCTAATCGCTCACCTGCCTGCCAGCCTGGCTGCCCCCAACTGCTCCCCCCACCCTGCTGCTGGCCTGGTCGCCCCACCCAGCCTGCTGTTCAGTTTGGTCATCCCTCACAAACCCCCTGCCGGCCTGGTTTAGGCAGCCATTTTGTGAGGGTCAATTTGCATATTACCGCTTTATTATAGAGGATGGCGGTTCTCCCTGAGTTCACCTACCCATTCAACAAGGCCCCACTCAAAATACCAAGAGACCCTGTTTTGGTGAAAATTGACAAGTGGCTTCTGAACTGCATCTGGAAATACAAAGCCAGCAGAGTAAAACAGCTGGAAGAGTGGACGCATTGGAGGACTCCCACTGCCTGATACCAAGAAATATCACCAAAGCCCGCCGGCGTGGCTCGGTGGTGGAGCGTTGACCCATGAACCAGGAGGTCACAGTTCAATTCCCAGTCCAGGCACATGCCCCGGTTGTGGGCTCCATCTCCAACATGGGGTGTACAGGAGGCAGCCGATCAATGATTCTCATCACTGATCTTTCTATCTCTCTCCCTCTGAAATCAACATAAAAACATACCGGGGGAAAAACACTGGGGAAAAAATATTACTGAAGACACTGTGGACTGGCTGAGGACAGGCCTGTAGGTCCCTGAGACAGAAATAAACAGACCACAGGCACACAGGGAATGGGTTTCAACAAAGGTACTGAGGCAGTTCCATGGGGAAAGGGTAATATTTTCAACAAGTGGTGCCAAGACAATGGGCTGGTCATACAAGAAAGAAAACCAGAAAACCTGGACCAGCCTTTACTTCACTGCATCTATCAAACCTCGCTGGAAACGTAAGACTTAAAATTACAAAACTTCTCTAGGAGAAAACAGAAAAGTCACGGGGACTTTGGGTTTAGCAAAGACTTCATTAAAGGGGGTAAGAAATAGAAGCAAGATGTGCTCATCACAATGAAAAATGTTCACTCCTCAAAGACATTGTTACGTGTCTCCGTGTCATGGCCCCCGGGCACACCCTCTGTGCCCTGGATGCCAGGGGCACCCAGAGGCTTGGCCGGATTCCGCTTTTATTACGGATAATTGCACTTAAAACAAAATCTTTCCCAGGCAGTCTCCCGCGGTCCCAGCAGGCGGCCCCCAGCTCCGTCCTGTCAGGGCAGCAGCAGAGCCGCCCGAGCGTGACTCGGGGCGCAGGTACCACGTGGCCCCAAACGCCAGCTTCCCTGCCATCGGGGCCGGCAGCTGGGGGTGGCCGATGTTCCACGCATCTATGTCGGGCTGCGGAGAGCAAGGCTCCAGTGAAACGTTCCAAACCCAGGCAGCCCCAGGACACTGGCCCGACGTGGGAGCTGGACCAGGAAACTGTGCTGCAGGTGCCGCTGGCCCAGCGCCCAGCACAGGAGGCAGACAGGTGAGCAGATCTGGGTGTTGGAGGGAGGTCAGCGCTATGCGACATGGGTGAACACCAGGGGTTGGTGAAGTCGGGGAACTCGAGGCCTGACGTGCCCTTGGCCCCAGTCAAGACCAGCTGATGAGAAACTGCTGTCCCATCGTCAGCGAGACAGGGATGTCCAGGGTCTGGGAACAAGAAAGAACCATTGGCCGCCAAACCACGGAGGCAGAGGGGAGAGCCCAGCACCCAGCAGGCAGGAGTGGCGGCTGACTGGGCTGGCGGGGACAGTGCTCTCAGCTCTGGCCGCCTCAATCAAGCTCTTTAACACGGCGCGTCAGCGCAGACACAGGCAGAAGGAAGATAAGGTGCCGGGGGCCGATCCTGCCCCTCTCCCCCAAGATCCAGTTCCTCCCGCCCCTTGTGAGGCCCAAGCATCCACGGCTTCGACACAGCATGTCCCGAGGCCAGCTTGGAGGTCACTGTGTCCCCAGGGGCCCGGCCACCCCCACCCTCACCCGTCCTGGGGGACAGCCCCCTGGCCCGTCTTGGGCTCTTGCCTGGGTGTCGGGGCTGTAGGTGAAGTTGGAGACAGGAACCCCATTGGCAAGGACCTGCTTGGGGGCGGAGGCCACGCCCAGGAGGGTCACCCTCCTCAGCTGCAGGGCGGCCCCCTCGCTGCTCACGTGCACCAGGTCGTTCACGACGGTGTTCTGGGCCAGCAGGACAGAGAGAAGGGGTGTGAGCAGACGGCAGCGGGGAGCCCCCAGGACAGGCCTCTGCACAGCCCCGGGGACGGCGGGGGATCTCGGCCCAGCCTGGCCCGGCGGCACAGGCCCTGGGCGAGCTGGCAATGTTGGAACTCGGGCCCTCTCTTCTGCGGGCTGACAGCCTGCACTCGGGGTGACCGTCCCGGGACCCAGACCCGGCTCCCCTCACCCCAGGCTGGCCCCACACTCCACCCCTGCTCGGCGGGGGCAGGACTCACATTCCTGGCCAGGAAGACGAGCTGTGTGTAGGCCCCGCGCTCCAGCACCCCCAGGCTCTCCCCGTCATCCCAGAAGAGCTCCCCGCGGGCCTCCCCACTCGAGGTCAGGGCCACGGCCAGCGCCATGGGCTGCTTGCGGGACTCCGTGGTCGTGAGGCCAGGGCCCTGCAGACCGGGTGGCACATGTCACCTGGCAGAGCCTTCAACCCAGGCGGGAAGGACACGGCGTGGGGACCAGGGTCTGCAGGACGGCCTGCCGTCAAGTGGTCCAGACCCTCATGGAGGCCAGCCTGTCCGAGGCGGACCCCCGAGGACAGGAGAGGCCCACAGATGTTTGCAGACTGGCTGACCCGTCCGCAGGCCCGGCCACAAGTTAGTGGGCTGTCTCCCGAGCCTCCCACCTGGACCCACTCCTCCTCCACCCTCAGGAGCATCGCTGCCGCGGCCGGGCCGGACCCCAGCTGCACAGAAGCCATGTGGCCCCGGACAGATGCCTCGGTGTCCGGCCTGGTACCTGCAGGGGGATGATGTGTCCAGCCCGGAGGTGGAGGTTGATGGTGTCCAGGGGGGCCGGCAGCGTCACCCACTGGCCCTCGCTGTGGATGGCAGGCTTGAGGGGTGCCGCAGGTGGAGGCGGGAGGCTGCCAAGGGCCTCTACTGGCACCTGGATGGGGACGGCACATCACCGAGGGTCCTGGGCAGTGCCAAAGCCCCGTGCCGTGGTCAGGAGCCGAGGACTCCACGGCGAGGCCCAGGGGGCCTGGCAGAGACAAGCTGGTGTGACCTCATGGCAGGGGCCCGGCCACTTGGTGGTAACAGGGCAGGAGAGGCCCGAATCCTGGGCCCGGGTGAGGCAGGCCAGAGGGCACCGGGAGGGGCAGGATGTTGGGGGCAAAAGAAGTGGGGTCCTGGCTCGACCTGTAGCAGGAAGGGCCACAGCACCCGGGCAAGGTTCAGCTCAGGCTCAGTCTGCACATTGGAAAATCGGTTCCCGCAAGGACTGCACAGGATGACGCCCGGGAGGGCACAGGCGAGGCCCAAGGACCTCGGGGGCAGACACAGTCCACGCTGACAGGACAGGAGGGAGGGACCCTCTCGTCTCCCAGTTCTCCGGGGTTAGGGACCCGGGACTCACCATCTGCAGGTCGTACCACGTGCCGGCGGGGAAGTAGCCAGTCACTTCCACCTTCCCAGCCTCGAGCACCGGCGTGATGAGCAAGGCCTCTCCCCACAGGAGCTGGCGGTCCACCGGCCAGGTGCGGGGGTCCTCAGGGAACCTGCGCGCAGAGGCCGGGAGCCTGGAGCCCTGAGGTCCATGCCGCGAGCCCCGCAGGGAGGCCTGGAAGCAGCCGGAGCCCGCGTGCGGGAGCCCAGGAGCCCGCACTTGGCTGGGATGGCAGGGCCGCTCTCCGACCCACTGGTCAACACCGGGAAGGACGGACCCTCCTCCTGGGCAAGGCGACCCGCAGGCGCTGCCCCC